TTGGAAACCTTCTCCCTGAATGTAAGCCTATAGCCAGCAGATCTAGGCGCTTTAGCAAAGAAGACCAGGAGTTTATCAATCAGGAAGTTACAAAACTCCTGTCTGAAGGAATTATTGAGCCTACCATAACACCATGGAGAGCACAAATTGTTGTTTCTAAAGATCCCTCAAACCGGCACAAGAAGAGGCTCTGTATTGATTACTCTCAAACCATCAATCAATGTACAGAGCTTGATGCGTGCCCTCTTCCTTGGATCGATGACATGATCAACAACCTAGCACAATACAAAGTTTTCTCAACGTTTGATTTAAAGAGTGCTTACCATCAAGTACCGATAAAGGAGTCCGATCGAAAGTTTACTGGGTTCAAAGCTAATGGAAGACTGTATCAATTTTGCCGTATACCGTTTGGCGTCACTAATGGAGGCCTGGTGCTTTCCAGAGAGCAATGGACAAATTTGTTGACGAGGAGAACCTCAATGACACATTTCCATATCTGGACAACATAACGGTGGTTGGACGAGATCAAAAGGAACATGACGTAAATGTTCCGGCATTTCATGAAGCAGTCCAACGCAGGAACCTTACCTTGAATGAAAGCAAATCAATCGAATCCAAGACATCCATCAATGTATTAGGTTATCGGGTTGGCAATGGGGTGATCGCTCCTGACGAGGAAAGACTCCGCCCACATCAAGATTTTCCGCCGCCAGAGAGTATCCGCTCCCTTCGCAGGGTGATTGGCATGTTTGCTTACTATGCGAAGTGGATACCGAATTTCTCTGATACGATAAGACCCTTGACGCAAACTACTACCTTCCCATTAGATAAGGCAGCATTATCGGCATTTAATATGCTTAAGAAGGAACTTGAAGGTGCAACTCTTCATTCCATAGATGAAACTCTTCCCTTTGTGGTTGAGAGTGATGCGTCAGATGTCGCTTTGTCTGCTACACTTAACCAAGGTGGTCGTCCTGTTGCCTTCATGTCCAGAACTCTCCAAAGTAGTGAACTACATTACCCCGCTGTTAAGAAAGAAGCTATGGCTATCATAGAAGCAGTCCGTAAGTTGCGACATTTTCTTGCTGGTCGTCACTTCACACTTAAAACCGACCAACGTTCCGTCGCATTTATGTTTGATAGCAGGAAGCGCACGAAGATAAAGAACAATAAAATGCAAGACTGGCGACTTGAATTAGCTTCTTTTAGCTACACTGTGGAGTACAGACCTGGTAAGGACAATGTAGCCCCAGATTCATTTACCCGAGCTTTCACTTCTTCAATGTCAACGTCAGAGGGTCTCATGGGAATCCATACAGCACTTAGCCATCCTGGTGTGACTCGAATGCTGCACTTCATAAGGTCGAAGAATTTACCCTATTCTACCGAAGATGTCAAGAAGACATGTTCATCGTGTAGAGCTTGCGCAGAGCTCAAACCACAGTTTTACCGACCGCAGGCTGGAGTCCTTATCAAAGCTACGCAGCCGATGGAACGATTGAACATCGATTTCAAGGGGCCTCTACCAACATCATCTCGTAATGCATATTTGTTGACTGTGGTGGATGAATATTCTCGCTTTCCGTTTGCGTTTCCCTGTCCAAACATGCACACCTCGACAGTTATCAAATGTCTTGATCAGATATTCGCTCTTTGTGGTATGCCTAGTTACATTCACTCGGATCGTGGTGCCTCATTCCTTTCACAAGAACTCAAGGAGTACTTGTCTCGACGAGGGATAGCAACAAGCAAAACAACCCCCTACCACCCAATTGGAAATGGCCAGGTCGAACGTTATAATGGTATTATTTGGAAGGCTGTTCGACTTTCCCTCAAGTCAGCAAATCTACCTGATTCAAAATGGGAACTGGTGCTTCCAGACGTTCTTCATTCCATAAGATCACTCCTCTCTACCTCTACTAATACCACCCCACACGAGAGATTTTTCAACTTCCAACGACGTTCATCTCGATCTGGGAACTTCGCTACCATCCTGGCTACAAAACCCGGGACCGGTCCTGTTAAGGCGTTTTGTTAGAACAAGCAAGAACGACCCGTTTGTCGACCAAGTAGAACTAACGGATGCAAACCCCACTTACGCCCATGTGAAGTACCCCGATGGAAGAGAGTCCTCAGTCTCCCTTCGAGATCTAGCTCCTTGCCCCATTACTCCTGTCCGGAATGAACCACAAGGAACCCTACCAAGCGGAGAAGTGGAAAACGGACTAGCTCCGAATGTTCCAGATCCCGTGGCCGTTGATTCACAACAGGATTCAACTACATCGCCAACGGCTTCTGATCCACAGCAGTATTCAACAACGCAAGTACCTGCACTCAGACGTTCAACTCGTCAAGTTAAACCACCATCTCGTTATGGTTGGTAAATAATAGGCTAAATGAACTATTCGTTTACTAGTATTTGAACTTATAGTAAGATGACTTTTACATTAATTAGTTTATTTAATTAATTATAGTAAGTTGGACTTTTATTTTAGGGAGGAAGAATGACATAAACTTTATATTTACTAGGTACCGGATTGGGTTGCTGTGGCACCTCAGCCCGCGTTAGCATTGGTCATTTTAGTGTCGGCCATTTTGTACATTTTAAAACGTATTAAGTTTATAGCTGGCTTTAAGTAGGATAAAGCCATGCAATTAGTATGGTTTTTCATTTCTATTATTACTTTATGATTACGACATTTCCCAAGTCATGAAAATTTGCAAAGTGCCGGGGTCATAGGGGTGGTAATTTTAACAGTCAACATTCCCGCGGAAGCAGGGAAATTACCAAAATTTAACATATATTGTCAAAATGTTAATTTCCCCGCCCTAAACCTGGGGTCCGGTTTTCAATTGACTAATGCATTATGGTGGGATGCAGCCCCAATTGTATGTTTCCCACCATATTTTACATGGCTCATGCCATATAACTTCAGTACATAGTCATTTTTGGATCCATGCCTGGGACATATCATATCTTGAATCTAATTTGGGTATTCAATCATGTTTAATAGACATAGGCAGTCCACATATGGACTGGTCATTCTATATCTAAGTGCATGGCTATTGCGAAAATAGCCTTAATCTACACAGACCACAACAAAGGTATAAAAATTACTTACTAAGTGATCACCCATTGTATATCATTGTACCTTTCTATACCCACTGACATATTCATAGATCTGTATTTTTATACTTTACACTACAAAAAGGATAAAAATGAGACAATAATTACATTTGAGCATAATTATTATCATAATTATCCCCCATAGCCATGTGAGAAATTATAGCTACCTCCTTCATACCTTCCATGACAATTATAGTCACCTGTTTAACCAGGAAATAAAAGAAAATATGGGAAATGGCTAATTATTTAACTGTATGCACTCTTACCTACCTACCTATAATTTATCCATCACATATTATATGCAGTAAATGCATCATTCTTGGTTAAACGACATTTATTTTGCTGCAAAAGCCCGGCCGTTTAATTTCTTGCTCTCGTTATATTCGTTGCATTCGTCCGTTTTGCATCCCAGCGCTTCGCAACAACCAATAAAAACAAGTTTTCGTGTTGTTCAAATCATAATTTTACCGTCTATTTATAACAATGCTGTTCACGGTTGTTCGAACAACTAAAAACAACTTGTTCTTTCATCAATGTTGTTAACGCCTGTTCGAACAATATTGTTGACGCCTGATGAATGAACAACGCTGAACAACATTGTTCTGACAACATTTATCAAACATGTTTCATCAACCTTGTTGACGCTTGTTCCATCATGTTGCAACAACCATTGTTCGTTCATCAAGCGTGAACAAGTTGTTGGAACAATGTTGTTAACGATTATTGCTTGAACAACGTTGTTCAGCCTGATAACAACATTGTTCAGGCATTGTTCAATGAACAACGCCGAACAACCTGATCAATTTTTACGCGTGTATGTATGCTAACAAAACTGAATGTCTGTAAAATTGTCCCCGAGCCGACGGCGCGAAGCGCCGTGCGAGGGTACTAATTCCCCCCGGCTATTTACACCCGGGGAAACGAGAGCATTAGCGAAGTCTAAAGTTCATCAATGACCGCGGGCGCGCTCACCAACGATGTTGAATGGGTGGTCATCACTAATCTCAAAATATGGCTGTTCGTCAGGAGTGAAGAAGGCAAAAAATATTAAAAATACATGCAAGAAAGCTTGGAAAATCGTTTCACATAACATATTGTACAACTTTTTTGCAATTTTTGAACGTAAACATTGATAAGAATTGATATTGTATGATAAATCCTAAAGTATAGGGCAAGTTTGTTTCAATTGTTTAAGTATGACTTTGTATTTAATAATATAGACTTTGCCCTTGATGTTCAAGGCTTTCCTATGCATTGTTTGCGAACGTTTCTTAGCTAAATTAACTTTTGTAGAAGTTTATGATAAAAAGGAAAGCAAATTATTTTCATTAGCGTCCTGTACGAATTGAATTTGTCTCATTTCAAAGTGCGAGTTATAAAGTTGAAACTCGAGTTGAGAAGTTTATAAATATTGGCAAAAAGCAGTTTTACGTAGAGTTTCGATTTGAATTTTACATTAAAATAAAGCCCATAGAAATCAAAATATTATACCTACTTTATATATTTTAGAAATTGATAGTTCTGTATTTAATTTAAAAGTGTTCAAATTTCATCTATTTTTTCCCAGTTTGTACAAAAAATTAAAAAACAATTATCGTGTCGCCATGACTACTAACATGACGTGCAACGCGAGCCTGCGTTCAGTGTTGGCGTAATTACGAATACTTCATCTTGAAACAATGTTTGGAAAATATAGGCGAGGGGGTGTTGCATGCATGTATTTCTACTTAATAAACGTGTTTAAGACCATGTTCAGTAATCTTTCAGTTCATTTTCTAAAGTTTGTTGGATCCGCGTTGCTGCATCGATAGCCGCCTTTCGCTTCGGAACGAACGATCTTGCATTGGCATCCAAAGGAATTTTGGTTTGTCTCCTCCCCGTCCTCTTTATATCCGCCAATAAAGAGGACGGGGAGGAGACAAACCAAAATTCCTTTGGATGCCAATACTAGTCGCAACTGAGTTGGAGCGGATATAAATGTTGTGGAGCTCGTTCTAATCGATCTCGACCGCTTCTGAGCCGTATCGCGCGAGTTACACCGTCTTTACCTTCGATCAATCTTTCCACGATTCCCAAGGCCACTTGTTTCTGTTTCGATCCTCCGACTTAATCACTACAACGTCTCCGACTACGACGTTGTTAACTTTCGACTTATGTTTTAACTTATGACGTTCTCTCAAAGCACGTATGTGTACATTTGTCCACCTTCTCCACATTTCTTCTTTCGTGCGTTTCAAGAACTTCAATCGCTTTCGCAAACTTAAATCATCTTCATGATAAGCCTTTAATTCCGGTAGATAATTTTGAGTGATGAATAACATCGAGTTCGGCGTAAGAGTAGGCAGTTGAACATTCTCTTCCATGTAATTAAGAGGTCCATTGTTCATCGCAATTTCAACATCGAGTAAGACTTCAGTTAGCTCGTCCCAGGTTAGTAACCCGCTCCCAACCGTCTTGTAGAAAATTCCTTTCATCAACCCAATCAGCCTGTCGAACTGCCCCCCACCAGGTGGCTCTGCTTAGATTGAATTGCCAGGAGATGGTGTTATTGCGAAGGGAATTGTTGAGCTCTTCATCTTTTCGAATACATTTCAACCTCTTAGAAGCTGCTATAAATGTCGAACCATTGTCCGAATAAATTGTAGTAGGTCTTCCGCGTCTGGCAATAAATCGTTTCAAACTCTTTATGAATTCTTTGGTCTCGAGGCTTGGTAATAAATCCAGGAACAGGGCAAGCGTTAGACTACATGAGAATAGAGCAACATACGACTTTGCTTCTCTTCCCCTGAGACGATATTTCACCGGGCCAGCGAAATCTACACCAATCACCGCGAAGGGCGTAGACTGCTCGGTTCTACACTTTGGTAATAGAGCCCGGGTCGGGCTCGAAATTTCTTACATCCATAACACCTCGAAATCACTTTCTTGGCTAGCTTCCTCAATCTGGGAACCCAGTACTTCTCACCAACTTTTGCCATCACCATTCCAACGCCACCATGCAGAGTAGATAAATGAGCTCTTTGCACAATCTTGGTATTGTATTTAATTATATTTATACACGGTAACCTATCAATTGATATTGATTTTCATAGGGCCGTGTAATATTTACAAGTAAAAGAATTGAATTATAATATTTACAATTTATCGCTTAGATGCTGATTCCAGGTCTTAACTCCCATATAACTAAAACTTCTCTTCATAGAGTTTGTATTTGGTTTTGACAGTCTTAGAAATTTGCCATTACTTCTTCATTTATAATTAGAATTGTTGCACTTTTCAAAAAGGCAACCTATTATCTCCGGCCATTATCATTCATAACATTACTCATACATTTTTTCATGAGATTTTGTCGCCTTTCATCCCGTGTTTTGCCGCCTAACTTAAGTAATATTTGTTTTGATCGAACATCATAATTATCACCTGTGATAACCCTTGCCGCCCTGTTTTGGAGTTTTTGTAAATTTAATTTTAATGTTTCTGAACAATCACTCCAAACAAGGGAGCAGTAGTCAAATTGAGGTAAAATAAGTGAATTATAAATCATTTTCAAAGTATTTCTGGAAGCAAAAGACTTGCAAAATCGTAGCATTCCTATACCCTTCGAAGTTTTCTTACAGACGCTATTTGTATTCTCTTTCCAGTTTCTCTTGTCATCTACAATGATTCCCAGACTTTTTGTTTTGTAAACGCGTTTTATATTATTATTTCCAATTGTAATAATTGGATTCGTTTGAACTTTAGTAAGATTGTGCTTGGATCCTATTATCATGAATTCAGTTTTAGTTGCATTTAGTGTTCATTTATTTGCTGTTAACCATGTATGTATTTTTAAACAATATTGTTACACCCGATTCAGGCTCAACAATATTGTTCAATATTGTCCATAAGTGTGAACAACGTGGGCAGCAAAACATTGTCCAATCCTGTTGAGCACCGGGCTCAGTGTTTTTTGCCGTGTATATAACAATGATGATTTCCGAGATATGTACTGTAGGTATGTTGTTCTGGATTTTGTGAGCTTTGATTTAATGTAAAATGTAACATGAATGGCTTCGTAAAATGTTTATTTTAATAACTAAACTGCTTTTGCCGATAAACTGTTTTCACTTCAAATTGTTGAATAATTTCAGTTAAGTCTTCGGATTATTAATTTGCGCAGTGCCGTAGCTAGCATATATAGTTGGGGGGGTGTAGGCCAAAAATTTCCGAATGACGAAGAAAATTTCCGAATATTAGCGAAATTTTTTTTTCATTCGAAAATTCTGGGCGAACTCCCCGTTGCCAAAAAAAATTCGGTCTGTGTATCATTTTAAGGGTCAAAAATATTTTTCGCACATACCAAAAGTCAGATATTAGCTAAAAATTGCCTGAATCTCATGATTTTCGTACAAAAACCATATACTATTATTGCCGTAATTTTCCGAATGGCCAACCCCATTTTCCGAATATGTCAAAAGTTGGGGGGGGGGGGGTTAACCACCCCCCAATACCCCCCTCGCTACGGCCCTGATTATTTGCTTTCCTTTACATTTACCTTTTTTTCTTAAATTAAGCTGGGGGGTACTTTACACTTTATCGTACCGCAAGTATTTGATGGCATGTCATCTGACGGTTTTTCCGTTCTTTTATTGGAGTATTTTGATGGCGTATGTATTCAGTGATTACTTCGGTACCGTAAAGTGTAATTTAGGAGACTTACAGCTTCTTTGAAAAGGGAAACAGGCAGCAGTGTATGTTTGATGTTTTACGCAATAACTTATTTATAAAGCAACAAAATTCATAAACATTCAACATTCAAAGCAAACTTGCCTATATTTCACGATTTTCCATAGTAAGTCAGTTCTTCTCATTTTTTGAAACAAAATTGCTTCCGAAAGCTCATTGTGTTGAAACGTGATTTTCCAAATATATGCCTTTGAAAATTGAAATCTTGCTTTTATATCCTCAGTGTGTTTATCCCACTCCTGGCAAAAACAGCCATAGGGGTGTCCACCCTTGGATCATAGCCATGCGCCCACAATATTTGATGAACTTTAGACTTCGCTAGTGCGTTCCTTTCCCCGGATGTAAATAGCCGGTCGGAATTAGTACCCTCGCCACGGGCTAACGCCCGGTTGACTCGGGGATAATACAAAGGTGCGCGGAAATACCAGATTTATTTCGAATGTTGAACATGAAATCTCAAAAGTAAGCGCAGCGAACGGGTGAGATATCATGTTCAACACGAGAAATAAATCTAATATTTCCAAGCATCCCTGTATTTTTCTGTTTATTATACAAAAGGACAGTCTTTGAAAAGCGATAAGTTTTACAGATGAAATTATCAGTCTTATCAGTGTTCGAAATCTCTTTCAAACACTCAATAATTCATAAGCTTATTGGCAAATCATGTCAACCATAATATGTCACGTGCAGCGGCTTTAAACCTGATAATACACTCCTAATTAGTATTTTTATATAACGAATACTAATAAGGCAGCATATCTATTGAATTTGCAGTCGTGTTTGAAGCCGTTTAATAAACTCAGAGGTCGTGTTTTATTAGGTCTAAAGCCACTCGTGCTGCGCGCTCGTATCTTTAATCCTAATAAAACACTCCTGCTCGTTTATTAAACAGTACATAAGGCACAATACTTTCGATAATAAATAATATTACGAATGTGTGTCATGCAAGAACGAGCTTACGAGAACTTGTTGGTTGGGCCCCTGCCATCATTAGCCCCTAAAATGAAAAGATCGGAAAAGATTAAAAATGTAGATATTAATTTTGATATTACAATTTATATTTTAAATATCTAAACATCTGATGTTACCGAAAAATTTAACAAATTGCGGTACATTAATTCGACAGTTACTGAAAAATGATACGTCCGGAAGTGTCCCCCCCCCCCCGGCTCGCGAACAAATGTTTCATGTTTGATCATTAATACCCCCCACACCAATCTTGATCCATCCGTCACTGGGCCTGGGCCCCATCAGACGTTTCTCATTCTTCGTCTTTTCAAGACCCCAGCACAAATAAACACGTCAACAGTAAATCAGGAACTGAGAGATTGATAGCAAGATATTGTCCCTGGATTTCTGAAGCATTTTAAAGGATCCTTGATAAAGGCAACGAGAAGGAGTGTTTTAGACCTAATAAAACACGACCTACGAGTTTATTAAACGGCTTCAAACACGACTGCAAAAAATATAAAAAATACTAATGAGGACAAGACTACAATAGATACTGCCTTATTAGTATTCTTTATATAAAGAATACTAATTAGGAGTGTTTTATCAGGTTTAAAGCCACTGCACGTGACTTGCTATGGTTGACATGATTTGCCAACAAGCTTATGAATTATTAATGAGTGTTTGAATGATATTTAATATTTAATGACTTTAATTTCAATTCAGTGCTTACCGTACGAGGTCTAGAACCAGTTAATACGTATATTTAGAATATGCACGAAAAATTACACAAAATGTCACGGTTCCAATTTCAATTAAAAATTTGAAATTAAAACTTTGGAAAAGATAAAAATTTTTGATATTACACTTTATATTTTAAATATCTAAAAGTCTAATACAACCGAAAAATTTAACAAAATGCGGACATTAATTCAAAAGTTACTGAAAAATGGTATGTCCGGACATGCTTTTACCCCCCCCCCCTCTCCCCCCGCTCGCCAACGAAAAATGTTTTTTGCAAAAATTAGCTTTCCACCGAAATTGGAACCTTGACATTTCGTGTGATTTTTCATTCATATTGTAAATATAAATTTTAACTGGTTCTAGACCTCATACTGTAAGCCCTCAATTGAAAGTCATTACATAATAAATATTAATTAGTAATCTAGTCGATGATGAGTGACGTTTCATCAGATATTTTTAATATTCTAAATTATATATTTGTGAGTTTAAAAACCAAAATTTTAATTAAAATGTTTGTT